CCCTGCGTCTGACTCCCTACGTGCTGCTAGTCCACCTGTCACGCGGTTTCTGGCCACTGCTGTCACTGACCCTTTGTTTGAGTCCACTGCTGCGTCTGCTCTTGTTACTGAGCTTGTTGACTTTGCTGCAGCCTGTCGCCTGGACTACGCCACTAGTCTTGTTGCTGAGTCTGCGTCTGCGTCTGTCTGTCCTCCGTCCGTCGGGGGTGAGTGTGCTCTTGGCACGGACGTTCTTGAGGACAGACAGGAGGAGTTTGAGTGCTTTGCCGCTACTGTACCTCATCTCGTGTCCATGCTACTTGCCCCTGAGGGAGACCCGGATGCACCAGACATCCCGACCCCGCGCTCTTACGCAGAGGCAATAGAGGGTCCCTACTCCTCTCAGTGGCAGGCAGCCATGGACGCCGAGATGGCTTCCTGGAAGTCCACAGGCACCTACGTAGACGAAGTTCCCCCACCTGGGGCGAACATCGTCAGTGGCATGTGGATCTTCAGGGTGAAGCGGCCGCCGGGTTCTCCGCCTGCCTTCAAGGCGCGTTACGTTGCACGTGGCTTCAGTCAGCGACAGGGAGTTGACTTCTTTCAGACCTTCTCCCCTACCCCGAAGATGACCACGCTTCGGGTACTGCTGCACGTTGCTGCTCAGCGTGACTACGAGCTCCACTCGCTTGACTTCAGCACAGCCTTCCTACAGGGCAGCGTGCACGAGGAGATCTGGCTGCGCCGCCCACCTGGCTTCACTGGGTCGTTTCCTGCTGGTACCCAGTGGAGCCTCCGGCGGCCAGTCTACGGTCTCCGCCAGGCACCCCGTGAGTGGCACAACACACTCAGGACGACTCTTGCTACTCTTGGTTTTGCTCCTTCCACTTCTGACCCTTCTCTGTTTTTACGCACTGACACCACTCTGCCGCCGTTCTATGTTCTCGTGTACGTATACGACCTTGGTCTTTGCTACTGCTGACACTGAGGCACTCGCCCATGTGAAGTCCGAGCTGCAGAAGAGACACACGTGCACAGACCTGGGTGAGCTGACAAGTTATCTTGGCTTGCGGATCACCCGGGATAGAGCACAGCGCACCATTACCTTGACTCAGTCACACATGGTGCAGCAGGTCCTTCAGCGCTTCGGCTTCACGTACTCCTCGCCACAGTCCACTCCTCTGCCTACCGGTCACTCGCTCTCAGCTCCACCTTCGGACGAGTCCGTAGAGCCGAGTGGCCCGTATCCAGAGCGTGTGGGCTGCCTCATGTACCTGATGACTTGCACACGACCTGACCTCGCATACCCTCTCAGCCATCTGGCTCGCTACGTGGCTCCCTGCAGGCACCGAAAGGTGCACTGGGATGCTGCGAAAAGGGTGTTGCGATACTTGTGCAGTACATCGGGCATGGGGCTCGTGCTTGGAGGACGGGCTCAAGTTGTCCTCACTGGTCACGCTGACGCCTCCTGGGTTGATGACTTGGCTACGCAGCGGTCGTCACAGGGTTACACCTTCAGTCTTGGCTCCGGTTCTGTCTCTTGGCGGTCTACCCGCTCTTCTTCTGTTCTCAGCTCCAGCTGTGAGGCTGAGATCTACGCTGGGGCCATGGCTGCACAGGAGCTACGCTGGCTCACCTACCTGCTGACCGACTTGGGAGAGGCGCCTCGTTCTCCTCCAGTTCTGTCTGTCGACAACAAGGCCATGCTGGCCTTGTGTCGGGAGCACCGACTGGAGCACAGAACGAAGCACATTGCTCTGCGCTACTTCCTTGCTCGAGAGTTGCAGCAGCGTGGCCAGCTTCGTCTTGCTTACGTGGCCTCTCAGGCCAACACTGCTGATGTTTTCACCAAGGCACTTCAGCCTTGTGATCATCAGCGTTTCTGTATTGTGTTAGGCCTTGTACCTACTGTGCCTCACTTGCTTTCTTCTTGACTCTGCTTGTACTGTACTCTTTATACATATACCTGCATGCTTACACTTGCTAGGTTGTGTTCACTGTATTGTTTGTTCTCCTTTATATAACTCTGCATGTGAACTGGCCTTGTGGCCATTTGCTTGTGCTCAGACTGCGTGGTGGCTTTGTGATCCACCGTGAGCTTGCTTTGCTTTTCTTGACTGGTCTTGTGACCTCTTGTTCTCCCCCACTTTGCCTATGGGGGTGTGTCAAACTTATATGCTATAGTCTGTTTAGGCTGTAGTGGGGTAGTTCTTAGAGGGTACAACACTCTTAGGTTTCCTATATGTACCCACCTGCTTTCTAGTTCAGTCATTCATTCGCTCACATTCTAACACCATGAGAGGGAAGTGGTTCTCCAAGAGCTAGGGAAGGATGGTAAGAACCTTCATAGCAGCAAGGATGCAACCCTCATCATGAGGTCCTTGAGGTGTCACATGCAAAATCCAATCTAGTTGGATTTTGCCTAGGTGTTGCAACATTTGCAACCCATGCTAGAAACTTCTAGCCACCCCAATCCAAAAGTCAAAGTTGTCTTCATAACCACCCAACCAAAGATCCCTTTATAGTCATTTCCAAGTAATCACCCAAATTATATATAACCCCAAAATGTAATAAGAAATCAAAGTCTTGGAAATCTTGTAACTTGGGCGATCTTTGTCGAAATAAGGCGATCTTGGTATCGTTGGAAAGCTCTGGATTTCTCCTGCATGATCAAGCATTTAAACTTGGAGAAAAACACAGAGATGATAATATCCAACAGCCACGCACAATGACACATGCTCATGCAAACAATGCATGCATGAATAGCACGAGCACTCGGCAGGACGTTAGGATGACATGCGCTCAGAATGACGTGAATCCAACAAACTCCCCCTCAGACTAACGGACTGCATGCACATACACTCACACACATGCAAACTCTCATGCACACAATCACACAATCACACATGCACTCATGACACCCAAACGTGCTGCTAACGCACCGAAGGCGACGCGAGGAGCCTCGGCATCGTTGATGTCGGCCGAACGTGCAGAGTCCGAAAATCGGGGTTGTACGCGAAGCAGTCAACCCCGATAAGGAATTCGGGAAATTTCCTTACAGCTTTGCAATTCCCAAATGTGGGGGTTTGGTTGGTAACGAGAGCGCCCATTACAGGTTTTAAATGACCTTAAAGCGACGGGCAACTTTTGGCAGTGTTGGGTTCAGAAGTTTTTTTTTTTAACCAGGCTTGCCAGCGCGAAAGTGCTGGCTGGCGAAAACCAGGATTTCGTGCGGACACTTTCCATCCGCAGTAACAGTTCGCCAGGGTTCTGGGTTTTGGGTGGCAAATGTGCACCGTCGCTTTAACCAATTGAAGCAAAAGCCCATGTCCCGAGAAGGTACTCCTGTTCAGATTGACTCCCGGCTGCGAAACGGAGAACGAGGGCCAACGCTTTCAGCGAAAACTGATGCGACCATCGCGAAGGATAATCGGTGCATTAGCAGCACGTTCATGTCAACGCAATAGGTTTGCGAAACTGTCGTCATGCCAAATGTGCTGTCCGTGCTCACGACTGCGCGACGGCCGTCAAGGCCGTCCGATCTGAACGTGATGGGTCGAGCCTCAGATGCCAGTCATCCCAGCTTCCTAATGATGAGGGTTTTCGTGATTTGTTGGTGTTTGTCGCGAAACTGGTATTCGTGTTGTAGACCTTGTAGGTTTATGTGTCACGAAATCGAGGGACAACACCGTTACACAGTATTCGGTGGGATCTGGCTGCTCATAACCACCAGACCCCCGATCCAAAAAAACTGGTCACATTGTGAACACAATCACCAACTTCATTATGTAAATTAGGTGTGCGTGCGAGTCAAACTGCTGTAAGGCAATGTAACAATTTTGCCATGGACGAGCGGATAGAAGCCGTAGTTCCTAACGAAATACCGGAATCCCAGCAGGTGACGGATTCTGAGACGGTAACGGAGTCTGACCAGGCTCGGGAAACGACTCTCGAGCCGCCTAGAAAGTCGTCTGACCAGGGACGCGAAACGGCTCAAGCAATTGGAGCGGAGAAAAAGAAGCTTGCCCGCCCTCGCTCGTCTTCCGCGAAACGGAAACCGCAGGAAAAGGGGAAGGCAAAGGAGCGGGCAAACGAGCCGCAAGGAGAGGGGGAGGAGCCTAGAGCAGAACGAGAACAGGTAGTGGCAGGTCGGCCGGCGTCAGGAGTTCGGCCGAAGACAGAGCAAGCTTCAGTGCTGACTGCCGAGCAGATAGGGCCGCATAGGGAGCGAGCGAACACGCAGCAGGGAGAGGAGGAGCTGTCTAAAGCGGCAGAACCCGAAAAGGTTGTGTCTGGTCGGCTAGCGGGGTCAGGGGTTCGGTCAGGGGCAGGGAAACCGGCAGTGCTGACTGCCGAGCAGCTACGGCAGCACACGGAGCGAATCACAGGGCCGCAGCCACAGGATCTTGCTGCGCTACACGCCAGCCCTCGCCGCCCAAGCAGCCCCGGCTTGTCGTCTAACGTGAGCGTGCGGCAGCTGAGGTCTCTCTTCGAACAGTCCAAGTCCGGAGGAGTAAGAACCGCCGGAGCAGCGGGGCCGATTCGGAAAGCGAGTAAGACAAGCAAGAGCAGCAAGAGCGCAGCCAGCAGCGGCAGCGGCGGCGGCGGCGGCAACGCGAACGCGAAGGCTGTTAGGCGTGCCGGCAGCAGCGGCGCCACCACAGACACAGACTCATCCGACGCATTGGGTAGTAGTGGTAACCCTTACCCTAACGCTGCGAGCGGTAGGATGAAGAGAGATGGGTCCCTTAGAACGGGGTCTGTTCTTGGTCCCGCAGGTAGATCGTCCCCTAGACGGAAAGGGCAATCCGCAGGTGGAAACTTGGGTAGTGCGGGATCAAACTTGGGTAAGTCCCCCCGTGCTTTGAAGAGCCAGGTGCAGAAGCGGCAGCAGGGGAAGCAGGCGTTGCAGGGACGGCCGAACTCCCCCTGTGAGGTGCCTACGAGTGCGAGCAGAGGAGAGGAGGATGGGTGCGGGTTGGGAGAGATTGGGAGTCGTTTGGATGAAGAGTGTTTGGGAAATGACGTTGCGAGTTGCAGGGAGGCTGGTGGTGAAGAGAGCGGGGAGGACAGAGGATTGGAATGCGGTGCTTGTGGCAATGGCGAGGGAAACAGCAGCAGCAAAGGAAGACGAGCGACGGGGAAGGGAAAGCAGGCGTATGGAGTGGTTACTCTTTGTTCTGAAGCGGTTGAGATGGATACAGATGGGGAGGGACATGGAGGGGAGAGACAACAACTGGGTGTGACCTTAGACAGTTTGGAAGGAGAAGAGGACGTGAGCGCAGGGGAAACCGTTGTCCTCGTTATAGGCAGTGGAAACACCGGCCTTACATCAGGGGTTGTCATGACTCCAGGCAGAACAAGGCGGAAGAGAGAGGGTGGCAGGACGGGAGGGCGAGGGAGAGGAGGAGGTGCGGGCATGGGGCAAGGCAGGGTGAGAGGGACGGTTGGGGAGAGGATACGACAGCTGGAGATTGCAGCAGCGAGCGCGGCTGCTGCTGCAGGTGTGGGGAGGGGGGCGGTTGCAGGGAGGAAAGGGAGAGGAGGAGCGGCTGTAGTTGCCACTGCTGCTGCTGCTGCTGCTGCTGGTGGTGGCAGGGTGAATGCTCGTAGAGAGTGGGGCCCCAAGGGGAGAAAAGCAGTGGGGCTTGCTGCTGGGGAGACAGGAGGAGGAGGGAGCAGCAGTGGGAAGGTGAAGGATCAGGGGTTTGAAGGATGTAGCGAGACTGTGGATGGGGATGGGGATGGGGATGGGGGATGTATTGGGGAGGAGGTATTGGGAAAGGGCTTGGGTGTGGGAGTGGGGGATGTACCTGTGTTGACTGTGGGAGGAGCAGACAGCCGGGAGGTTTTTAAGGGCGCTGTTGTGAGCGTTGCCGCCCGTGGTGCTGGTGCACGTGGGGCGGCAGGGGCGGCAAGGGGGAGGAGGAAGGGGTTGAAGTGGGGAAGTGGTGTGGAGGGAAGGCGGTTGTCTGGAGCAGGATGGTCGTCGGGAGGAGAAGGACATGCAGGCAGGGGGGGGGCACATGAGAGTGAGAAAGAACGGGAGAGTGAGGGGGTAGGGACAGGGAAGGGATGGCATGGAATGGAAGCCGGGGAGGGCGATAGGAACAAGGGAGAGTGTGCTGTGAATGGATCAGTGGTGGTTGAATGTTGGAGAGAGGATGAAGCCATGGATACATGTGAGGGAAATGGGCTAACCCGGTTACCAGGGTACGAGGGAGTGGAGATGGTGGTTGATCGCGGAGGCATGGTGTCCCAAGATGAACAGGCTTCAGTGTGTGACGAAATGAGAGGTGGGGATAGGGAGGGGATGAGTATGAGAGAGGGGATGAGAGTGGAGAGGAGAGGGGAGATGAGAGGCGGGATGATTATGAGAGAAGGGGATGTGGAGGAGAGTGCACACGGGGTGGCGGAGGGAGGAGAGGGCGTGCTGTTTAGTGACGGAGCGTTTTTGCTTCGAGAAGGAGTGGAGGTGGGGGTAGAGGTGGAAGAAGGGGAAGAGGAGGACAAAGACGGAGTGGGAGAGGGGGAGGAGGGTGACGAGGAGGAGGAAGATAGGGAGGGGGAGGTTGTGTGTCATGAGCTTCGGATGAGTGTGGAGATGGAGGAGCAAGCGAGAGTGGCGTTGGAGGGGGGAGAGAGTGTGCTGCTGGTTGATGATGTGTCAGGACGGGCCTATCAGCTGCTGCCAGCTGTCGTTGTGGAGGGGGTGGGCGTGGATGGAGGAAGGGAGGAGGCAGAAGGTAGTGATGAGGAGGAGGAAGAGGAGGAGGATGGGAATGAGGGAGAGTGTGAGTGTGAGGAGGAGCTGGAGGAGGAGGAAGAAGGGAAGGAGGGAGAGCATGAGGCAATGGTGGTGGAGGAGGTGGAATGGGAGGAGGATGGAGGGGAGGATGATAAGGAAAAGGAGGAAGTGAGGGAAGAGGAACGAGAGGGTGCGCAGGAGGGGGAGGAAGAGAAGAGGAGGATGGAGGAGGAGAGGAGAGGGATGGAGGAAGGAGAATGGGAAAGGAGGAGGCAGGAGGAAGCAACTGGTGGAGAGGAGGCATGGGCAGCAGAATCTGGCGTTGCTGGTGGTAGTGATAGAGGAAACGATGGGGCAGGTGGGCTAGCTGAGGCTGGTGGTCCCTATGTCGCGCGGTCTCTCTCGTCCCTATCTGGCGACTTGTCTTTCTGCGGGAGCTTGGAGGATGCAGGGACTATCGGTGACACCAGCGTTGGCACCGAGAGGGGCAGTTGCAGCGTGTATAGCCGTGGGGTTGATGCAGAGGGGTATGGGTTTCCAGAGAGGACAAGAGGGTATCCGTCAGCAGCAGCGACGGCAGCAGCAGGGGCAGCGTCTTTTGAGGCGCCTCAAGAGGGGTACGTGTTTCCAGAGAGGTCGAGTGGGTGCGTGTCAGAAGCAGCGGCGACTGCAGCGGCAGCGGCTGCGGCAGCCGCGGCGGCAGCAGCAGAACGAGCAGCGGCAGCAAGAGCAGCAGCAGAAAGAGCAGAGGAGGCGTTAGCAGAAGAACCACTGCGGCAGGTGGTAACTGGAGCAGGTAGGAGGTCTGGCAACAGTAACAGTAACGGCAATGCCAATGGGAGTGGCAGTGGCAGTGGCAGGAGCAGCAGCAACCAGCCCGGCCGTCATGGTATCAGAGCAGGTGCCGCCTCAAGCCTTGACTCCTCGACACACAACCTCGCACAAAAACACCTCTCACACCCCTCCTCTTCGTCCGTTTCCTCCTCCTCCGCCTCCCCGCCCCAATCTATCTTCTCCACCTCCTCTGCCGTCCGCCGCACTGTGGCGGTGAAGCAGTGGATCGACTCCCAGCCAATGGCGTCGCAGCTCGACCCTGTCGCAGAATCAAATCTCGAATCGAATCCGGAACAGAATCTGGAAGCCAGATTTGATCCGCCTTCCGAGATCGTGCCAGTAGTAGAACCCGAAGAAGAAGTGCTTATCCTACCGTCAGCAGCAGCAGCAGCCGCAGCCGCCACCGCAGCAGCTGCTGCTTCTGCTCCCACTCCCACGACCGGCCTGGGAAACCCTTCGCTATTGTCACACAGCTCAGCCCGTCAAGCCTCTCGTTACAGTCACGCTCACCAGATGCCCCCAGCAATGCCGCCCAACCAATGCTTCATAACGCCCGTGCGCATTGCTGCTCGGCGCGGGCTGTTCCGAAACGAGTGTGTGGCTCCTGCGGTGCTGGGAGGGGGAAACCACTCCCGAGGTGCTCCTGGGGCGTTGGGAGGGGTGAATCAGGCAGGTGGTGGGGATCGTGCAAGAGGTGGAAGTGAGCGGAGAGCAGGGGGGCAACAAAACACGGGTGGGGTTCAAGGAGTGAGGAGGGGTGGTGAGAGGTTGAGGGGCGGTAGAGGGGGTGGAGAGGAGGTGGGGGTGGGGAATCAGCGAGCGAGATTGAGGCCTGGTGGGGGGGTGAGAAGTGGGGGAGAGGGGGTTGTTGGAGGAGGTATGGATGTCGGGGCAAGGGCGGGTGCGGCAGTGGGAAGAGTGGGGGGAGGGGGAAGGGCGTCAACAGGAGCAGGGCCAGGGGAAGGTGCAGGTGTAGTTGCAAGGGCAGCTGGAGAAGCAGATGCAGGGCGACTAGAGGGAGAAGGGGCAGTAGCAGGAGGGGATACGTCACAGCGAGGGGAGGGGGGAGGCAGTGTAGGTGTTGGCTCCGGGCGTGGGGGAGGAGGGAGGGGGATGAGAGGGGGAGGAGCAGCCAGAAGGGGCAGAGGGAGAGGAGGAGCGAGGGAGAGTGTACAGCTGGAGACACAAGAGGAACGACGGGAGGAACTACAGGAGGAGGAACAGGAGGAGGAGCAGGAGGAGGATCAGGAGCAGGGAGAAGGCGAGTACAGAGAAGGGGAACTGATGACTGAACAACCCAGTAGTGATCGGCTGTCCACCGTACAGCCTGGCACTCACCTGTCTGGAGTAGCACATTCGATGGAGAGCGAGGGGAGGAGGGCGAGCAGTGTGAGGCAGCCGCGTCGCTGGTGGCTGCTTACAGGCTCATCAGCTTATCTCTGTGTGGCCTGCCCTGTGGTGCTGCGCCCTGTGCGCCCTGTGCACAGAAGCACTGGCACTGGTAACGGTGATGGTAGTGGTAGTGGTACTGGTAGATCGCTCTGCTTTAGGCAGCATGATACTGGGGATGGAGAAGGGGAGGTGGGGGTTGGTGTGGCAGGGAGATTGCCTGCTGCCCCTCGCTCGTCGCCTCGTGATTGGCCGAGGGAGGGTGCTGACGTGGCTGAGTGGCGGGTGGATGGGGCAGGAGAAGCCGGAGAAGGCGAGATGGAAGAAGCAGCAGGAGAAACAGCAGGAAGAGGAGGAGAAAGGAGAGCAATGCGAGCAGCAGTGGCAGAAGAAGCAAGCGAAGGGGAAGAGGATGAGGAAGAGGAATTGGGGGAATCGTGGCGCATGTGCACGGGGAGGCGAGTGCGTGCTAGGGAGAGGGGGGGAGTGGGTAGAAGGAGGGGAGGGAGACACGGAGAAGGAGAAGACGATGACAGGGGAGGCGAAGGCGACTGGGCAGCTACCACAGATGGAGCAGACAGAGTAGGTACTGAGACTGCTTCTGATGGGGATATTCCTGGTGCCAGTGCTGGGGGCGTTGCTGCTACACGGGTAATGCATGAAGCATCAGCTGCAAGTGCAACTGCACATGCATTGAGTGCGAGAAGTGGAGAGGGTATGAGAAGCAGAGCCTTGTGGCGCTGGCAGCAGCAGCAGCAGCGCCTGAGGAACCAGTTCTCGCCCCTCCCCTCCCTCCTCTCCTCCCCCTCCCGTGCCCCTCGCTCCGGCCAATCCCGTCGTGACACGCGGCCCCAGAGCCAGCAGCATCCACGTCAGCAGCTGCCAGAGCAGCAGGAGGTGGGTCCGGGGCAGCAGCATCTCGTGCCTGGTCAGCTTCTGCTGAGTCAACAGTAGTCTGCGTCGAGTCAGCGCAGGTTGGGTCGGCGTCGCGTGTCTGTACATGGGCTAGCGGGCAGGCAAGGCAGGCAGAGAGGAAGCGGGGGAGATAGAAGAGGAGGGGTGGCTGTGGTTGGGGCACGGTCGGAAGGGGTGCAGAGCGGTGATAGTGATTTGGAGGCAAATGAAAGAGAGATGAGGGGGGAGGTGATGGAGGGTGAAGAGGAAGAAGATCTTCCTGCAGGACCTGAGGGCACGGTCAGTGTTAGCGTCGAAGAGGTTGCTGCAGAAGAGAGGAGGGGCGCTTTTAGAGCAGTGGAAGAGAACGAGGCGAATAGTGGTTCAGCGGCGTTTTTAAGGCATGCAACGAGTGGTGGTTCAGAAAGGAATGAGGAAAGCACGGAGGTGGTTGCGGATAGGGAGAGCGAGCGGTTAGGAGATGGTGGGGAGGGGGTGAGGCCAGCTGTGGGTGCGGCAGCAGGAGATTCAGTGGCAGAGCCATCGGAAGGTGCAGGAGTGGCAGGGGCAAGGGAGGAGGTGGTGAGCTGTGGTGCTGTGAACAGTGCTGTCATCGGAATTTGCTCACCTGCCGACCCTGGAGCTTTGGGTGAAGGTTCGGAAGAAGGTGAGGAGGTTGGGGAACCGATTGGGTCGGAGAATGTGTTGGAGGAGGCTGGCTGTTTGCAAGAGGACGGCTCTTTAAATGAGCAAGGCGCTCGGGACGACGACGATGCAAGGAACGAGGAAGGCTCTGAGGAAGTGGAAGATCGTGGTGTTAGCGACAGGCTACTGGTCGGTTTGGCAGTGGCAGTGGGGGCAGCAGCAGGCAGCAGCAGAGGTGCAACTTGTGAGGTGCAGCAACAGGCGGTTGGCGTCGCAGAGCCGGCCGAGGGTATTGACATAGCAGGGGGTGTGCCATCAGGTTGTGGTGCTGCAGAGAGAGGGGCGCATGCTGTTGTGGCTTCTTTTGTACCTGCAGCCATCGCCCATTCAGAGGTCGATGTGGGTGGGACTCAACCACCCTGTGCCGCTGCTTGGACTGGTGAGACACCTCGTTCAGCGCCGGATGCAGCACCTGATGCGGCTCCTGGCACAAGACAAGTCCAAACACCTGGGGAAGCACCTGAAGCTGGTAGCAGCCAGACAGCGTCTACAGCAGCCACAGGTCCCTATGCCAACCCACCAGCCAATGCCACACTGGCTTCACAGCAACCACTCTCCACCCCTCTCTTTGCAGCAGAGAACAATGCCGCAGCAACCATGTACCCTGCTTTTGTTGCACCTCCCCCCATCGCACCGCACTCCATTGCACCTCCCTATACCGCACCTCGCACCACTGCACCTCCCTCTATTGCACCTTACACCATTGCACCTCCCACTATTGCACCTCACACCATCGCACCTTCCCCCGTCGCGCCTCCCCCCATCGCACCTTCCCCCGTCGCACCTCCCCCTATCGCACCTCACCCCATCGCACCTGCCCCTTGCCCGTCAACACTTTCCATGCCCAGTCCCTCTTCCATTGGCGAAGCAGCAGCAGCAGGCACAGCAGCAGTAACAGCAGCAGGAGCTTTCCATTCATTCGTTCTTTCAAACGCATATGCGCCACAGCCACAGGGTTATCAGGTTACCGTGTTACCACCAGCACCATCCATGGGCACACCACCACAGGTGCTGCCTTACACTCATGACACACAGCAGACCTCACAACAGGCCTTACAGCCTGCCTTACAGCAGACAATAGTGCAGCATTCTATAGGCATACAGCTCCTCCCCTCTATGGGTCAGGAGCCTTTGCATTCCACGCCCTCCAATCCATTTCAGCCCAGCCTTGCTCCTGTCCCCCACGCTCCCACTAATCCGTTTGATCCATCCCATCCGTCCAATCTGCCGGGTTCTGATCCAACGGCGGTGCCCATGCTGGCCGTCAGCTATGCTGCTTCTGCTGGGTTTTCCCTTTCTACCCCTCCTGTCCCTTCTGCCCTTCCTGCTGTATTCGCCCCGCCCCCCCCTGTGCCCTGGCATCAGACATACCAACAGCATGATCATGGGTTGTTGCCAGGAGCAACAGCAGCAGCTGGGGCAGAAACAGCAGCAGGGGCAACTGCAACAGCAGGCACAGGAGCAATGGCTGCAGCAGCATCGTCTGCCACAACTGAGTGGGTTCTGTTTTCCCCAGCACGAGGCGAGGAGGCAGGAACTGCAGCAAGCGCTGCGCCCTTAACCGCTGTAGCAGCGGCACCGGCAGCAGCTGTAGCAAGTCAGTGGACAACAACTGGAGCACCAGAAGGAAATAGTGGATTTGGGGGGAACAGAGGGGTGGTAGAAGAAGGGAGAGAGGGGGTCGAAGAGAGAGTGGGAACAGAGGTGGGGAGCGCGGGAGCAGAGGCGGCGAGAGTGACTGCACCGGGAAGGCTAAGTCCTGCTCGTTTCCGCAGGGTGGTGAGTTCAGGTGCTGCCCAGATGACCACTGTCAATACAGCCTTGCCTGTGCCCACGGGAGCTCGCATGGGCTCCCCGTTGACTCGAAGGGGGATAGATGGGCACACAGGGGCTGGGGTGTTGCATTCAAGCAACAGCTTTAGTGGTGGTGGGGGGGGGGAAAGTAGTTCTGCTGCCGCTGTTGGTGAGGGTGTGAGTGGTGTGGCTGGTAGCAGCAATCGAGGGGAGGTGGTGTTGAGGATGCATGAGCAGAGGCAGCAGCAGCGGCAGCGTCTCCTGCTGCTGCGGCTGCAGCGCATGCTGTTGACCCGTGGCGAATCACCTATTAACGAGGACGGAGAAGCAGGAGAAGGGGAGGAGAACCAGCAGCAGAGTCTGACCCACCAGCAGCAGCACCAGCTGTACGAGCAGTTGCAGCAGAGCCGTGGGGGGGGCAGGGACGAACAGGCACTGGTAGATGCTGCGATTGAGCAAGCCCTCTTCGGCTCCTCCTCATCCACTCAGCTTACCAGCAGTGCTGCTGCTGCTGCTGTTGCTGCTTCTGCTGCCCCAGGTTCTAGCGGTATCGAGTCTTCTCGTCCTGCTGTCTCAATGAGGCTTCCAGCATCGGCGCGTGTCGTGGCAGCAATGGCAGCAGCAGGAACAAACGCTGGGGCAGGGAGTGGCATCGGCATTGGAACAGCAGGCACTGTAGCAGGTGCTGTAGGGGGTAATGTAGCACGTAGCACATCAGGTACTGTAGCAGGCAGTGTAGCAGGAGCAGGAGTGCCACTGGTAGCAGTGCTGGGAGGCCCGCCGATTCAAGTGTCATCCAGGCGAACCCAGAGCCCTGCTCTCACCCACACACACGCTTGGGGGGCCGGGGTATCCAGCAGCAGAAGGCAAGTTGGGGTGGAGAGACAGAGGGGAGGAGCAGAGGAGCAGGAAGAGGAGGGGCGCAGGGGTAGGCGTGGGGGAGGAGCGGTAAGAGGGAGAAGAGGGGTAGAGAGTACAGGAGGAACAGTAGCTGGAGAGGATGTTGAGGCGAGTGGAGAAGAGGAGGGGGGGCCTGGGGAGGCGGTGTGCTGTGTGTGCATGGAGAGGCCGAGGAAGGCAGCGTTTGTGCCATGTGGTCACATGCTGTGCCGCACGTGTGCTCAAGAAGTCAGGGACAGGCGCGGCAAGTGCCCTCTCTGCAATCGGAAAATCAAGGATGTGCTCAATTTGTACTGATAAAACTAATGATTTGACATTGCATGTACCATTCTTGCATAGCCAAGCTTCTTATGCGAGGCTTCAAAAGAAAAACCCAGTTCCTCAGAGATAGAATCCTGAGGTGCACATTAGATTGCAAAATACCGGTAGCAGCTTGAAGCAAAGGCATTTGCCTGAGCGCACACGACAACCATAGAACTCAGAACTCATTTCTTGAAGTAGAAAACATCCACACCAGTAAGAGCCGTCTTCACTCTGTCTACCATCCAGTAATCTGCAAGCCCAACATCTTCCAGGCTGGGAAGAGCCCTCAAACACGCAATGCCATAGTCACCAAATGGTGATTTTAAATAGATAGTCTTGAGATTCCGGAAGCATGTCAGATGCTGGAGTCCCTGTTCAGTGATATACTCCGGGAGGCAGAGCCAAGAGAGTTTCGTCAAAGGCCGAAGATGTGGCAGTGCGCCATCTGACACCAACGTATTCCCAAGATCCAACGTTTGAAGCCATGTCAGTTTCCCCAGATTTGCAAGTCCTGCAAAGGAGAAAGTAAGACTGTCATAGGAACACGAGCAGTTATAGCTGCGAGAGAAGAAGAGGTCTTCAAGGGAGCTTAGAGATGTCAAATGTCCGAGCCCAACTTCTGTAACTGCAGTTTCAATCAAATTCAGCCGATGCAGATTTGGCAAATGGCTGATTCCCAAAATCACAGAATCATCTACTTTGGTTGATTGTAACTTCAGCTCCTCCAACCAGGGCATTGATGGAAGGTATTTTAAGGCGGCTTCATTGACAGATCCGCAAATGCTGAGGCTCTTCAGGGATGTCATGCAGGCGAGGCGATAACAGCCAATGGCAGATAAGGGTTCAAGGTTACTGAGTTCCACTTTGGTAGTATCCGCGGCACGTATGATCTTAATATCCGCATCGGTCGTTTGCTGACAAGAAGCCAATGTAATAGCCTGAAATGAAACTCAAAAATTTTATCAGGTACTGCGATTGAGCAAATAAACTTGTGTACAGTACCAGCATTTCTCACCTCCCAAATCTGAATCACTTCTCGCTTCTGCTGTACCAGCGCTGTCTCTGCCTCCGATAATCGTGCCGTCAGTGCAGTGACCTCCTTTTCCTTCTCTATTTCTACCTGCGAAATTCGTGCTGCCAGTGCAGCCATCTCTTTCCTCTGAACTGTTTCTGCCTGCGTTATTCGTGCTGTCAAGGCAGCCATTTCTTCTTCCTTCTTCTTTTCTGCCTGCGAAAATCGTGCAGTTAGTGCAGCCACTTCCTTATCCTTCTCCCGCTTACCGGCCTCACAAGCTAGCTTAAGCATCTGATCGCTAATGCTGCTTCTACTGGCCCTGCTTATTGCTTCCAAAGCGACCACTCTCTCCCTCAAACCTCCCATCACTGCCTCCACACTTCCCACTCTCTCATTAATCCTTACCCTCTGCTCGTTTTCTTCGTCCTCTAAATCCAGCCTAATCTCGTCAAACCGAACCGCTAATCGCATCGCTCCCCTTGTAACTTCTTCCAGAAGGACTTCGGTTGCGGTCTCCATGTGAGCTTGATCTGACGTGACGGAGGAAGGAACTCCTAAAGCAGCTGGATTGAAGCAGCGACAGAATCTAGGTAGCTCAGTTATTTTTCCAAACAAGGGGAAAGATTGGCAGAAGCTTGGGAATGGGAAGACCACAGGAAGGAACTACTGTATCGGGAATCTGCTTCTGCGGGGCATCTCTGGTAAGAAGTTTGATAGGCTACTCATGTCACAAGCTGAAGCGGTGTCATTAGCTGACGTGTTCCAGCAACCTTGGTCTAGTGTCACATTTCTGAACTCTTGTCAAATCAAAGAGCTCTGTTTATCCGCATCGACTCCACCGCACTGAACCATATTCTTATACCTCGTCAGGGATGCAGCGAAATACGATTTGGCGATCTATTGACGAAATTCATTATCCTAGTTGCTCGCAATCGCAACTTCTGTTTCGCCTCGCACAACATCCTCTTCATTGCCGTCCATCACACCTCTGGCGAAACTTCGCATCGACGAAACATTCGCACAGTCAACCCCACCGCCAGCCTCCCACCGAAAACGGTGGGATAGACAAGCCCAAGGCAGGTCTTCCTGTTTCTCCATTCTCCCTCCCTCCATGAAACACGCCGGAGGCGCGGCGAGTGCGAGTGACCAATTGAATGCACCGAGAAATCACCTGCGCTCTAGGCTCCCTGGGCAATACTCGCCTGTCCCGTTAGTCCCTAGGTTCTATTACCTCCACACGAAACCCACCTTTGCAGCCGCGCATCGCTTTCGTGTAATCGACGATGTGATCTTCCGAGGGCCGTGAGCCTGTAATCCCAAGTGCGACGCGCAGAAGCCAAGTTTCTATACAGTATGATATATAAAACGAGGACCGAGGCCACACATAGACTGCATTCCAGTCGGCTTCAGCTGAGTTTCCTCTCGGATTTCGACGACCACACCCCCAAAACTGCTCCACACTTTTCCCTTCGCTTGACAAAGGCGCCAGACGAACGTTAAGCCTTTAAAGACGACCATCTCCTTTGGTTCCACAGCTGTTCATAATCTTTGGTCAAAGCCTTTGACCTATCCTCTCAAAGAATAGTGGCGCTACACTTGCGTCGGCCCGGTCCCTGCGTCATCTAGTTTCTTCCGTTTCTTGCTTGTACCTAGACCCGTAGAACCGCGTGGATTTCTCACAATGCGTCCACATTCATTGCTTCGCGTGACGCTTGGCGGCCCCTGTACAGTCACACTACCTATTAGCCACTCATCAGCGCATCACTCCAAGTACCATGCTCGCGGAACGAGATGCTGGGCCTTCGGACGAGGTTCGGGCCGAACCTCGTCCTCGGCTCTGTTCACCCAGCTTCTCCTCCTCATCTCGCTCTCCCTCTGTACAAATCTCCGAAGCTCGCTTGCATCTGCCACCGCCAGCCAAACACACAATATCTCCCTGTCCGATCCCAGTTTAGTAGGCGGAAAAGACATAGGCGTCAATGGTATCAGGGCTTCAGAGACGAAAGATGGTTCTGAATGGAAGGGGAGGAGGCGGTCACTGTTCCTCTGGCGGGCGGGGTCGAAGAAGCCGAAACAGGTGGGTGACGGATAAGGCGCCTCAAAAGAGGCAGAGGGTGAATTCGAGTGGATGGGGAAAAGGCGATCACTGTTCCGCTGGCGAGCGGGGTCGAATAAGCCAAAGTAGGCGAGTGACGGGACGAGTGAGCTTGCAGTGCTGATGGTTCCGTTAATCACAGAGTGTTGCTGGCATCTCCCAATTCTTTCTGTGATTAATGTTTCCACATGTATGTTCGGCCTGCCGCATTCTTCAGACAGTTATGGCATCTTGCCGTTTCTCTTTCCGTCTCGTCTCTTGCACATCCCCCAAGTGCATACACTCTTACCTGGCCCCAACAGGATCGCATCCCTTGTCATGTCCTTCTCTTTTTTCCGATTTTCATCCATTCCATTGCTTCACAATTCCCTACCTGAGCGCAACCGCACTGATTGTGCATCAATCGCTTACCACATCACTCGTCATTTCTGTCTTTTTTTTCAACGTTTGCTCGCCCATTCCCCAGGTGCACATAGCCCTAGCTGGTCCCAACAGCATCAGAGTCATGTGGTCAATCGCTTACCACGTCTCTTGTCATTTTTGTCTTTCTTTCAATCTTTCTCGCCCATTCTCTAGGTGCACATAGCGCTAGCCGGCCCCAACAGCATCAGAGTCAGTCAATCTCTTACCACGTCCCGATGCTCCATTTGGTTTCTATCTCTTCCCTATGCCTCTCTTCTCTCGCCCATTCTCTAGGTGCACATAGCCCTAGCCGGTCCCAACAGCATCAGAGTCATGTGGTCTACGTCTCGCCGCGGGACGCCGTCATTGGTGGAATTCGGGGTAAACTCTGGGCAATACACCAACAAGGCGAAGGGGAAGTCTTCCAGCTACACCTTCATGACCTATTCGTGAGTACACTAAAAGAAATGTTATCCTCTTCCGCTTTCATCTCTTGCTTCTCTCATACACCTTCTCGTTTTCCGTCCCCCGGTATGGCTCAATGCTTTGCCTTCCCATGAATGCATTTCGTACCAGAGTCACCTTTTCTTGCTTCACCTTTTCTTGCTTCACCTTTTCTTGCTTCACCTTTTCTTGCTTCACCTTTTCGTGATACCCTTTCTTTATTCCCTCTCCACTGCCCGTGTTCCTTGGTTATCCCCTCCCCTTCCCTTCCGCACTCTTTCCTTTTCCCCATCCCAACACCTGTGCAGGTCGGACCAGCTACACAGCGCAGTGCTATCAAACCTCCAACCCGAAACCACCTACTACTACCGCATTGCAGGGCAAGGGCCAGAACGGTCCTTTGTAACGCCACCCCTTCTTTTCCCCCATCCCAATCCATCACCTGTACAGGTCGGACCAGCTGCACAGCGCAGTGCTCTCGAATCTACAACCCGAAACCACCTACTACTATCGCATTGCAGGGGAAGGGCCGGAACAGTCCATATTTCCCTCTTCTCCCGTTCCACTTTCCATCTTTCCCTTTGTCCCCATTTGGTTTGAGCTCCTGTGCAGGTCGGAGGTGACTTTTGAGTCGACTCAGTCACCTCTCCTCCCATTCCACACTTTCCATCTTTCCCTTTGTCCCCATTTGGTTTGGACTCCTCTGCAGGTCGGACCAGCTGCACAGTGCTGTGCTCTCGGGTCTCCAACCCGAAACCACCTACTACTATCGCATCGCAGGGCAAGGGCCAGAACAGTCCTTTGTAACGCCACCCCTTCTTTTCCCCCATCCCAATCCATCACCTGTACAGGTCGGACCAGCTGCACAGCGCAGTGCTCTCGAATCTACAACCCGAAACCACCTACTACTACCGCATCGCAAGAAAAGGGCCGGAACGTTCCTTTGTAACGCCGCCGACCGATGCTGGTGCTGACGTCAGCATCGCTGTTGTTGGTGAGAGATGGGTTCGGGAGTTGAGTGGAGGGTGGGTGGGAGTGGGTGGGAGCAGGTGGGAGTGGGTGGGAGCGGGTGGGAGTGGGTGGGAGCAGGTGGGAGTGGGTGGGAGCGGGTGGGAGTGGGTGGGAGCAGGTGGGAGTGGGTGGGAGCGGGTGGGAGTGGGTGGGAGCAGGTGGGAGTGTGGTGAGAAAAGTGGGGGTGGGTTGTGATGCTGCTGCTGATGTCAGCATCCTGTCGTCGGTAAGCGAACGGGCTTGGTGGTTGAATTGAATCAACAGACACCACTACCCCATATCACCATTGCCCGTTGGACTGCTGGTGGTGGTTCCTGAGCCAACTCGACAAAGCCCATACGGCTATTTTGTTTTTGTCACCACATCTTGCACTGCTTCCAGTGGGTAGCTGGAGAAGGTTTGCTGATGCAAGCATGGTTGTTTTGACAGGTGAGGTGATTTATTATGGCGTTAGCATCCAAATGGGGAGAGTCTGACAGGCTTGGGGATTAAGGGTGTGACTCCTGTAGATTGTGCTCCCAACCCAACGGATAATGTTACCCTAGCCCCTCTCTCTTCTCTCTCCTTTCACTTTCTGCTTGCCAATGCTTCCGTTCCAGGTGACATTGGTCTGTCCAAGGCAGCCCGCACAACCATCACCTGTCTCGCCCAGCAGCCCCACTCCCTCACCCTCCTCTCCACTCCTCTGCATTCCTCTCTCCGCTGCCTTCCTTCCCGTCCAGGTGATATTGGTCTGTCCAAAGCAGCCCGCACAACCATCACCTGTCTTTCCCAGCAGTCCCACTCCCTCACCCTCGTCCCGGGTGACCTATCCTATGCCAACGGCTTCCAATCCGTTTGGGACAGGTGGCAGAACCTGATTGAACCAGACGCCAGCACCCACCCTTGGATGGTCGTGCCTGGAAACCATGAAGCTGAGGCACTTAGCGCGATCAGCCCAAAGGGGTTCGAGTGGCCCGCATTTCTTAAGCGATCCGCTTTGCTAAACAGCGGCGCTTTCCGGGCGTATAAGAAGCGGTGGGTCATGCCGTCTGCTGCTAGCGGGTCGCCTTCTAAGCTGTTCTACTCGTTTGAGGTGGGAGGGGCGCATATCATCGTGCTCTCCTGCTATTCGCCCTTTGGCCCCGACTCTGACCAGCGCAAATGGCTGCAGGTGAGCTTCTCGGTGGGGAGAGCTGCAGGTGAGCTTCTCGGTGGGGAGAGCTGCAGGTGAGCTTCTCGGTGGGGAGAGCTGCAGGTGAGCTTCTCGGTGGGGAGAGCTGCAGGTGAGCTTCTCGGTGGGGAAAGCTGCAGGTGAGCTTCTCGGTGGGGAGAGCTGCAGGTGAGCTTCTCGGTGGGGAGAGCTGCAGGTGAGCTTCTCGGTGGGGAGAGCTGCAGGTGAGCTTCTCGGTGGGGAGAGCTGCAGGTGAGCTTCTCGGTGGGGAGAGCTGCAGGTGAGCTTCTCGGTGGGGAGAGCTGCAGGTGAGCTTCTCGGTGGGGAGAGCTGCAGGTGAGCTTCTCGGTGGGGAGAGCTGCAGGTGAGCTTCTCGGTGGGGAGGGCTGCAGGTGAGCTTCTCGGTGGGGAGAGCTGTAGGTGAGCTTTCTCTCTTCAAGAGCAAATCCCCTTCAGTCACATCTAGCATCGCATCCCTCAGCGAGTCGCCTTCTGAGCTGTCTGTACTACTCGTTTGAAGTAGGCGGGGCGCAAGTCATCGTGCTCTCCTGCTACTCGCCGTTCGGTCCCGACTCCAAGCAGTTTGAATGGCTACAGGTGAGATGCTTCTAGAGAAACAGCTGCAATGCCTACTGAATCGCCTTCTGAGCTGTCTGTACTACTCGTTTGAGGTGGGGGGAGCGCATGTCATCGTGCTCTCCTGCTACTCACCCTTCGGCCCCGATTCTAACCAGCTTAAATGGCTGCAGGTGAGAGGGGATGCATACAGGTGCGCATTGGAATCAGGGTGAGCCTTCCAAACAGGGTGTCATCATGCTCTCCTGTTACTCGCCATTCGGCCCCGACTCTGACCAGCGCAAATGGCTCCTGGTGAGCCTTCTCTCTTCAAGAGCACATCCCATTTAGTCACATTTAGCAACGGGTCGTGTTCTAAGCTGTACTATTCATCTGAAGTGGGGGGAGCGCGTGTCATCGTGCTCTCCTGCTACTCGCCCCAACCCTGACCAGCGCACATGGCTGCAGGTGAGCTAAGGTGCAGGTAAGCCTCGGTTGTAACTTGTGAGGGGGGAGATGGGTGCTGGTGAGTTTTGCAAACTGGGCATTCTGATTTGGTTATTTGAATTTCAAGTGCAAGTGGCCACAGCAACCTCACTTCTACCGCTCTACACCCATCTGCGTCCCTCCATACCTTCCTCTGTTCATTCCTTTCCTTCCATCTTCAGAAGGACCTATCACTTGTGGATCGGTCCAGAACACTCTGGCTCATAGCATCCCTGCGCCAGCCCTATCGCCCCAACAGCGACCACCACATACATACCTATTTTCACCCCTCTGCATCCCTCCGTATCCCAATATACTCGCCATTCTCAGAAAGACCTATCAAGTGTGGATCGGTCCAGAACCCCCTGGCTCATAGCATCCCTGCACGAGCCCTGGTACTCCTCCAACAGCGACCACCAGACACCCACTCTCACCACTCTACACCCATCTTTGCCCCTCCGTTCCGTCCTCACATCCCTTCTCTTGCAGAGGGACCTATCAAGTGTGGATCGCTCGAGAACCCCCTGGCTCATAGCATCGCTGCACGAGCCGTGGTACCACTCTAACAGTGACCACCAAACAGACGGGCAGGACATGCGGAAGGCCCTGGAAGAAACGCTTTATGCCACCCGCGTTGACATGCTGATCACCGGCCACGTGCATGCATACGAACGGACGGTGAGTTGTAACGACCATTGTAACGGCCGCTGTAACAAGCTTTGAGACATATCAGCAAGCTCTACGCTGCCCGCGTTGACATGCTGGCCACGTGCATGCATACGAACGAACGGTGAGTTGTAACGACCAGGAGGACCCCTGTGGGATCATTCACGTCCTTTCGACCCCAGCTGAGCCTAATCCTTCCCGTCATTCACCTCCATTTTCATCCCTTTTCTCATCATTTCCATCCCATCAGACCCGCGGGTACAACGGCCAGGAGGACCCCTGTGGGATCATGCACATCCCTTTGCCCCGGATTCAGCCTACCCTTTTCCTTGGTTCACCTCTTCATTCCTTCTTCTCTGTCACTTGCTTGTCCAATCTCCACCCCATCAGACCCGCCTGTACAACGGCAAGGAGGACCCCTGTGGGATCATGCACATCACCGTTGGGAGTGGCGGGAAGGACCTATACCCCAGGTAGGTCAGTCAGCTGTGCTGTTACACGTGTTACACTTGACTCACCTGTACAATGGCCAGGAGGACCCCTGTGGGATCATGCACATCACCGTTGGGAGCGGCGGGAAGGATCTATACCCCAGGTAGGTCAGCTGTGTACCGTGAGACGTCCTAATACTGACTGTAGGAAAGTCAGCTGTACCCTGAGACGTCTTGTAAAACTTGTCAGCTGTATTCCCGCGGTCCTATCCTGGGCACACCAGCTGTGCTGTGCTGTAAGACGTCCTAATACTCTGCCCTAGGAAATTCAGCTGTACCCTGAGACATCTTGAACACCATAAACTTTCATTCTCTTACAAACATCCCATCCCCTCCCTCCCCCTCCCTCCCCCTCCCTCCACCCCCTTTCCCCTCTCAGCTTCGTCTCGCCCAAGCCGGCGTGGTCGACCTTTTGAGAAGCCGCCTTCGGCTTTGCTCTCTTCAACATCGATGGCAATGCAGCAGGGGAGGCGGATGTGCAGCACCTCATTCCCGCACCAAACACCCCCTCCCCTCCCTTTTCCTCCCCCGTTTTTCTCTTCCCCCCCCCCCTCCTCTCAGCTTTGTTTCTCCTAAACCTGCATGGTCGGCCTTCAGAGAAGCTTCTTTTGGCTTTGCTCTCTTCAAGATCGATGGCAGTGCAGCAGGGGAGGCGGACTGGGAGTAACACTGAAACTTCTTGCTTACATTTCACCTGCTACGCCCCTCTTCCTCCCCCCCCCCTCCACAGCTTCGTCTCGCCCAAGCCTGCATGGTCGGCCTTCCGTGAAGCTGCCTTTGGCGTTGCTCTCTTCAAGATCGATGACAGTGCAGCAGGGGAGGCGGACTGGCATTAGCATTATATATAATCTCCTCCCTTCCTCCCCCACTCTCCCTTCCCCTCCCTTCCCCTCCCTTTCCCTCCCTTCCCTTCCCCTCCCTCCCCCTCTCAGCTTCGTCTCCCCCAAGCCTGCATGGTCGGCCTTCAGGGAAGCCGCCTTTGGTTTTGCTCTCTTCAAAATCGATGGCAGTGCAGCAGGGGAGGCAGATTGGGAGTGGCACAAAAACGACGATTCGCCCACTGTTGCTGCGGACTCTGCTCGCCTTGTCAGCCTTGCAAGTGCCTCTACTCCTGCTGAATGCCGCCCAGCGTGATGAGTGTTGAGGTGTGGGGGCGGGGCAGTGTGGCAGGGAGGCGGACTGGGAGTGGCACAAAAACGACGATTCGCCCACTGTTGCTGCCAACTCTGCCCGCCTTGTCAGCCTTGCCAGTGCCTCTACTTCTGAATGCCGGCCTGCGTGATATGTGGTTCTAAGGGATGTACAAGGGTGGGGAGAGGTGGCAGAGCAGCAGGGGAGGCGCATTGGGAATGGCGTCGCAATAACGACTCCCCTGCTGTTGCTGAGGACTCTGCTCGCCTTGTCAGCCTGTCCAGCAGCTCTGCACCTGCTGAATGCCGGCCACTGTGATGTGCGGTTCAAAGGGGTGTAAAAACAGGAGGGGTGGGTGGGGGGAGTGTAGACCACTATAGCAGTGTAGGGGTGTTGCTCTGGTCAACGGGGAACGGGAGGGTTTGGTATTGTAATGCTGTAATTCCCTGTTGATCAGAGCAACATTGTTCCTCTTCCACTTATGCTTGCTTTTAGCTGTGACGCCAGTATTTGTACACTGACTCTTGTCCATGAGTATAAGGTGTTACTAGGCCGCTTTACACGCTGCTAGCCACTCAGTTTATGAGCTTTTCTCTTGTTCACAGTTTCTGGTATCTATTTAGGAAATGCCAATATTACCTTATTACAGCGCAGCAGCTGTGTCTGCTTTCATGGTTTCCATTCGGAACCTGTTTTCATGAGTGGCAGCTCTAACACTCTCCAGGGAAACTCATTTATTTATTTGATTGTGGTGCACAAAAACACATAGCCACACCAAACCCACATTCTGTAGATAAAGAATTCCTTTCAGCCCACTCCTCCCTACACTCCTTTCAGCCTACACATTGTCTTCCTGCGCCAGGCACTTCTTATTCTTATTGATGCAGTCCGTAACGAGGCGAGTCAGAACCTTCTGATCCCACCCGTTGATGAAATCGCTGTGGTACTCATACGGGCTGCCGGTTCCACCGCTCTGCACCGTTGACAAATACACCGCAGGGTTCCCCTTCACCCCATCTTTTGGCCACGTTAAATCCAAATCGCTGCTAACCGGATAGTAAACCTTGATGCTGATTCGTGGCAGCGCGACGGGATGGGACGACGGACACGTGGTGTTGAGCGGAATATGCACCACGTGGGTTCGGTGATCCGCGCTGTCGATGTTCTTGCCGTCCCAGCAGACCGGGAAGTTGATTTTCGCGATCAGCTGGTCCCCCTGGGGGCACTTCTGGTGCGGAAAGTCGTTGCCGTGCTTTCCGCGCTCGCCGCACCACCACTCGACATTTGCGAGATCGTTGGCTTGTTTCTGGGGTGTGTGAGGCGCGGGGGGGAGGGTGAGAGGGGGGAGGGGAGGGTGGGGAGGGGAATGGGGGAGGGGGGGATTGTTGAAAAAAGGTTGGTCGCGATCAGCTGGTCGCCCTCGGGGCACTTCTGGTGCGGGAAGTCGTTGAAATTCGTGCCGCGCGCGCCGCACCACCATTTGACGTTTGCCAAGTCGTCGGCTTGCTTCTGCGAAGGGGGAGAGGGGGGGAAGGAGGAGAGTGGGGGAGACGAGGGTTGAAAGGGGGGGTTGTCTCCGCCTTGCTTCTGCCTCCTAGTAGGAGGGAAGTGCACGACGGAAGAGGGGGGAGGGTGAAGAGGGGGGAGGGAAGGGGAGGGGGGCATGCCGTGGGAGTTGGGATGACAAAGGAATAGATCGAAGGGTTCTCGGCTGAGAGAGGGTAAGAGGGAAGGAGAGATGATGAACGAATGTAACATTCCAAACAAACGACGAGAGAGTAATGAGCAGAGTCCATGTTGCGCAAGCTTGCGCGCAGCAGCAGTGGCAGTGGCATGGCAAGAGAACGCACATTGCCAGCGAAGGGGTTGCCGGTGAGCATGCGGAGGCCCGGTGGGAATGGCTTGATGGTCTCGGGGTTCTTGACAGACGTGCGGTAGTAGAAGAGCGTCCAGTTGGGCTTTAACTGCCGCGCATGAGGCGAAAGATAGGGGTGGAAGAGAGGGGCGGGAAGAGAGAGGGAGGGGAAGGGTGAGCGGGAAGGGCTTGATGGTCTCGGGGTTTTTCACAGACGTGCGTTGAAAGGTGAGCGTCCAGTTGGGCTTTAACTGCCGCATAAGAGTGGATAAGGCATGGGGAAAGGGAGGGGGAGAGAGGGGGAAGGGGAAGTTGGCGAGGTTCCAGAATTCATGGCGTGCGGTGAGCGTCCGACTGCGCCACGGGGGGAGGGGGAGGCGGAGAGGGGAGAGGGGGGCACGGGAGAAGGACGAGAGGGGGAAAGGTAAGATGGCGCTCCCACAGTTTCCCGACACCGAAGTTTGCCCACCAGGCTCAAAAATTGTCGGGATGGTGGTCAGAGTGGGGTACTGCCCCACTCTGGACACCGCGTCCTTGCGAGCCGTTGCGACCAGATTGCGACTCTGACCAGTATACACATAAAGAATCTAGTCGCACCCAATAGGCCTTCACATCTGACAATCGGATGGACTCAACGACTCGGTTGGGATTTCTGACTCCCGCGTAAAACGGTGCCCGAAAAATCGAAAACAAAAATTTCCGAGGCGCACTGAACCATTTCTACTATTGAATGGCGTTGACTCGGAAACCGGGCAGCTGAACTTGGGCAATGACACAGAAACGTGGGTTAGGTCGTAGCCCATTTCGGTAGGCGTCGTGGGCCGTCAGATGAGATCGTATACGGCTGTGGATGAACACTTGCACGACCAATTTGATGGGAATCCTGGTGGTCGAACTTCGAGCCACATGTTGGCAATTTTTTCGAAATTGGCAAAATTGCGAGCCGTGTGGGCAAACTTCCTTGTCGGGAAACTGTGGGAACGCCCTCTAAGTTGGTGAGGTTCCAGATTTCATGGCGTGCGGTAGTAGAAGAGCGCCGAATTAGGCCTTAACTGCGGCACGGAGGGAGGGGGAAGCGGAGAGGGGGAAACTGGGGGAAAAGACAAGGGGGGGGGTTTCGGGTTTAGGGGAGAGAACTCGCGCACACACGCGTTGGGAAACCACATAGGGGAAGGGGGACGCGAATCAGAAGCAGATCAAGTGGCCTGTAGGAGTCTTGCTGCCTTGACTGCGACCCGGGGAACCACCCAGCGACAATCGCGCAATCACGCGCTGTCACCAAGTAGCGTCTGATCGCCAATTAGGCCATGCGCGAAAAACATTGAACTAAAGATTTCGCAACGATCTCACAAGGCCTAGTACTAGCAAGTTGCAAAGTGGCATGTCTTCGTATCCTTTGTGCTGACGAATCCGGGCGCGATTCCCTCTTCTCGCGAAGCGAATTCGGCAGCACGATCGTCTTCGTTTTGGCGCTTTGTTTTTCGATGTAGCGTGCAATCGTCGCAGCGGGAGTGCCATGTCCTCACGCCATGTTTCAGCGGGATGAGCTTCACGTGCTTACGGTGTATTTCCCTGTTGGCGTTTTTCTGATTCGTGCGCATTAAGACCGACGGGAAGCTGCACGCTGATGCGACTTTGAGCATTTAAAAAAACACTGCGTTGCAACTTACGTGCTTGTAGATGTATTTGCCTTCGGCGTCCTTCTGATTGGTGCGCATGAAGACCGACGGGAACCAATACGCCGCTGAATCCGCCTTCAGACCGCACGTCGTCGCGCTGCCCACCAGCTTCGTTCCTGTCGCATAACGTCGCACGATGCATGTCGCATGATTGCTTTATCAAAATCATGAGAACGAGACAAACAAAAGAATCAGGAAAGAAAGACAGAAGAACTGGTGAACGGTAGCACTACCTACCATCGGTGGTGAAGGCGTTTGTCTTCTTGCTGCCTAGGAAATCGTGCAGATGCGATTTCCCGGGCTGCCCGGGAAAAACAATGGGGTCATTGCGGGCCGCGTGGCTGAAGTTGCAGCGGATGCGGAACTGCGCGCGAGGAACGCGCTCGGGTCGCAGCAGGAGGTCCGAGGTCGCCGTGTGGAGGAGAAACGAGGCGACCACGGCAAGCACTATGAGCGGCAGTCGACGGGCTGGAACCATCGCGACAGCAGGTCACAGTGAAACGAGTTGGCCCAAAGTATTGTCAAGTACTCAGGGCAAAGGGCAAGTGAGTTGGGCTGCCGATGTTCCTCGGCGATATCTGCAGTTGGAAAGAGTTGCTCAGCAGATGGAAAGGGTTGTGGTGAAAGTGGTTTTTTTATGGCTGTTGGGAGGGAAGGTGCCATCACCAGCCCACCCACACTTGTTCACATGATGCCCAACCAGTGCACGCGAATTTGCCCCGCACCGAATGGAAACGCTGCACCCGAGGTCTTTTCCCCAGCCTGTTGCACCCACGATACAAGCGCGTCGCGTGGTTATGGACCAATAGTAGCGAACAGACCGAAGTCAAAATGAAGAGACTGTAGTCAAAATGTCAACGGATAAGGTTACACATACTTAATATAAGCACCTGCGAATCCTTTTTAGCTAGCTGCGAATTGACGAAAATTATGCGAAATGCACGATACAGCTTATACGCCCCCTTCACAAGGCAAACAGGCATCAAACATGCATCAATTGTACCAACGCGACGCGGTACAACCAAGGAGGTCGGTTCGTCGGCTCCCTTTCACCTTCTGTAGAGTCACCATTTGACACATCCGTACCGTACATCGCCGATCGACGGCAGTAGTGTCGTGTCATTTTACCTTGACACCTCCACGCCAAGCCCAAGAGATTCGGCAGCAACATTTTCCAGGTCGCGCCTCGCGACTCGTGAGGCTCCTAGGTGCTGGGGTCCAACAGCTACAGAACCAATCATCGTGATTTATACCTCCTCGATACATGCGGCTGGCCCGAGGCAGATCTCAACCCTGGAATTACACTGCCGCCACCAGTATAACACAGCATAAACGTAGCTGTCAAGCACACAACTAAAACAGAAAGACAAACTTATTTCTGATTCTTCCAACAAGACAGCCTTTTGCATAACCAGTTTCACAAGTTCTAAAAACGGCGGAAAAAAAATATTTCATCAGAATTTTCCCTGCCGGACCTCCTTTGATGCATCAGCCTAGTCCCAAATATTTATCATATGATAATTTGTTTCAATGTTTTGATATGACGTTATTCTAATTCCAGATTAACTAGAAAAAAAATCTACATTTTGCATAATTCCGCCAGGTTACATTGATGCAAACGTAATTTGGTTTCAAATGTATACATTATATGTTGAGTCTTGTTCCTCATGTACAATAGTTACCTGGACCCCTTGTTTGTCAGATCGTGCAGCAAAAACACTTCATCCTCGCCAAACTGGGATGCGAAAAGTCTTCCGCGCGATCGACGCGCCCAATAATGCACCAGCAGACCGCGAGCCACTCAGCGCACTCAACGCTTCGCTTTGGGCAGTGTCGCACAGTAGCCGTCTGCCACGAAGGCTGTTGTGACAATCTCTAGGCCACAATGCTGCGATGATTTCAAGGTGTCACATAATTTCCAAAAACAATTCCCAAGGTGGCTTATTTTGAATTATTTCTTCCGCCAGATGCGTTTCACATTTGCGTTCCGTCTCAGCGAAGCCCTCCGCTTCCCTCGGAGATTCCAAGGCGGGCCCTTTGTTATGCGTCCACAGCCAGAGCTACCGCCACAGCATTCGGCCGTTTCCTTTTACCTTTAAAACTCCGGATCCCAGCACATTCTGCCAGTGCTGTTCAATCGTTGACTGCGTCCCTAAAATCAGTAGAGTCCGTTTTCAGCTGGTCATATTCAACTGATTAAGAGAGGTTCCGGTGGCGGTCCGCTTCGTATTAATTATCTGGTTGCTCAAGGCATCGCATAACTTGTTCACGGTGTAACAGCGTAAACCCGAATCAGGAAGAAGATATCTTGTAGTTGGAAATAGAAATCAAATGAAGCGAAATCCTTCAGACGATCCTGTGTGTTCCGACCAGGTTCCTCTTAAGTCCAGCTCCAGTCCTCGAAGCTTCTCCTCCATTCACCATGGATTCAACGGTCCTGATGCCTCCGCTGCTCCATTCCGGCGTGGCTGGTCACAACGTCTGATTACCAATCTTGTCGCGATCCTTCGCTACGGAGTTGGCGGTGTGAAGACCCTGCTGAATGGGGTTCCGGATAGCGACGATATCTCGGCGAAAGTTACCAGCGGGCCTGCTGGTTTCGACGGTGCGGATGGGAGCCAGGGAATTCAGGACAAGAATATCAACGGCTGGACGCTGCTGAGGAGGTTCTTCAGGGTTGCAATTGCGTTCTTCACAGGCGATTGCAAGTGGAAGGCCCGCGGGTTGATGGCGCTGCTGCTCATTTTCAGCCTCGGAACCACTGGTGGGTTGTAGGCTTCTAGTCCTATGGTGGAGGGGTTGTGTCGTCCAGTTGTTGTGGAACCCAATGGTAAGTGTGATATGCAAAATGGTGGGTTACAGTATCTTGGTAGAGTTGTGAGCTATGAATCTAGTTAGTATGGCATGCGTGGACTACGTAAGCTGGGACATGACAGTTATCGTGATAGGTGGGCCATGGACTTTTCTGGCCGTACTTTTGCTGCCTCCGTCATCCCTCCCCGTCCCTCCCCCTTTCCGTCCCCCTCCCCTCATTTTCCCGTTTTACTCATTCCCCCAGCAGAGATGTACGTGGTCATCTCATAAACGCAGAGGGATATGAACATGGCTCTCGTTCCTCTATTATCTTATCCCCTCCCATTCCCCACCCCGCCCCCTTTCGCACCAGAGATGTACGTGGTCATCTCGTACACGCAGAGGGACTTCAACACGGCTCTCCTCCCCTCTCTCCGTCCTCTGATATCTTATCCCCCTCTCACCTCCACCCCCTCCGCCCTCCATTCCCCCCGATCGTGATCATCTCGTACACGCAGAGGGACTTCAACACGGCTCTCCTCCCCTCTAGTTGCTTATCTCCCTCCCTCTACATGCATATCCCCCGCCCCTCCCATCAGAGATGTACGTGAGATCATCTCGTACACGCAGAAGGACTTCAACACGGCTCTCCTCCCCTCTCTCCTTTCTCTACCTGCTTACCCCCCCACATCCCCACCCACAACCTTCCCTATCAGAGATGTACGTGATCATCTCTTATACACAGAGGGACTTCAACACGGCTCCCCTTCCTTCCAGTTCCTTATCCTCCTTGCTCTACCTGCTTATCCGCTTCCCACCCACAACACCCCCCACCAGAGATGTACGTGGTCATCTCGTACACACAGAGGGATTTCAATACGGCGCTGTCAGCCAAGAAGCAGACCGACTTTTACCACGCTGTCTTCAAGTTTATAATCATCATAGTCGTTGCTGCGCCCTTCTTCGCTCTCTTCGACTATGTCCAGGTCAGTGTGCCATGTCTTGGTGCTGCGCAGTGTAGTGCGGTGCAGGTGGGTGCTTCCCCTGGGGTTGGTACGCAGCACCTTCTATCTACCACGCTGTCTTCAAGTTCATCATTATCGTCCTCGCTGCAGCGCCCTTCTTCTCTCTCTTCGACTACATGCACGTTAGTTAGTGAGCGAGTGGGTGAGTGAGTGAGCGAGTGGGTGAGTGAGTGAGCTACTGGGTGAGTGAGTGAGTGGGTGGGTGAGTGAGTGGGTGGGTGAGTGAGTGAGCGAGTGAGTGGGTGGGTGAGTGAGTGAGTGAGTGAGCGAGTGAGTGAGTGAGTGAGCGAGTGATTGAGTGAGTAAGTGAGTGAGTGAGTGAGTGGCTTCTACCACGCGGTGGCCAAGTTCATCTTTATCATCCTCGTCGCCGCGCCCTTCTTCGCACTCTTAGACAACGTGCAAGTGAACGCTCCAGTGAGCATGGGAAACGCTCCAGTGAGCATGGGAAACGCTCCAGTGAGCATGGGAAATGCTCCAGTGAGCATGGGAAACGCTCCAGTGAGCATGGGAAACGCTCCAGTGAGCATGGGAAACGCTCCAGTGAGCAAGGGAAACGCTCCAGTGAGCATGGGAAACGCTCCAGTGAGCATGGGAAACGCTCCAGTGAGCATGGGAAACGCTCCAGTGAGCATGGGAAACGCTCCAGTGAGCATGGGAAACGCTCCAGTGAGCATGGGAAACGCTCTAGTTAGCGTTTCCCTTCTGTTCCCCAGGTCGACCCCCCTTCCCCCCCTTGTATCCCCTCCTTCCCCCGGGTCCACTTCATACCTCCCTTTCCCCTGTCCCCCGTTCCCCGTTCCCTGTTCCCTGTTTCCTGTTCCCCGTTCACTGTTCCCTGTTCCCTGTTCCCTGTTCCCTGTTCACTGTTCCCTGTTCCCTGTTCACTGTTCACTGTTCCCTGTTTCCTGTTCCCTGTTCCCTGTTCCCTGTTCCCTGTTTTCTGTTCCCTGTTCCCTGTTCGCTGTTCCCTGTTCCCCGTTCCCTGTTCCCTGTTCCCTGTCTTCCGTTCCCTGTTCCCTGTCCCCTGTCCCCTGTCCCCTGTCCCCTGCTCCGTCTCCTGTCCCCTGTCCCCTGTCCCTTTGCCCCTCCCACTATTCCTGCCTGTCTCCTCTCGCTAATTATCCTCTTGCCAACCGCCCGTTCCTCTGTTGCATCTCCCCTGTCCTCCTGTGCCCCTGTCCTTATTCTTGGACATCAGGAGCTGCTGTCCCTCGAGTGGCGCCTGTGGCTCACCAACCTGCTGCTCTCCAGATACTTTGGTAAGTGCTGCTCTGCGTTCAAACGTTTTGGTGGTAAGTGCTGCTCTGCGTTCAAACATTTTGGTGGTAAGTGCTGCTTTTTGTGCAAGTACCTTGGTTGGGGGTAAGACCAGCTCTCTAGGTGCTTCGGTCTGCCCTGATCCCAGATACTCTATAAAGTGCTGCCTCTAAAAAAAAAATGGCATCTGCTGGCTTGCTACTTCCATTACAAATGTGATGCTCGACTTGCAATCGGGGATGTACATTTATTTACATTCACACACACTAGGTATGAAAGTTTGACAAGTGCTGGTGCTGCCTTGTGTCTGCACTTACATTATCTCCCCCTCCCTGTCTCCCAAACCCCCTTCCTCCAATGCCCGCTTGTTTCCTTCCTGCATCAGCAGCCAACCACGCGTTCTGGACTTGAAGATGGTTGGGAAGCTCGACAACCCCCTTCCTCTCCTCCCTCCGCCCTTTGCCTTTTCTTAACGCCCCCCTTCCAACTCCCTCCCTCCAACCTCCCTGCCGGTTTCCTTCCTGTGCCGGCAGCCAACCACGCGTTTCTGGATTTGAAGATGGCTGGGAAACTGGACAACCCCGACCAGCGTATCTGCGAGGATGTGAAGCACTTTGTCAGGACGTCCCTCAATGTAAGAGCGTGCATACTGGCTACTTCCGGTGTTTGAACCTGGTCTTTCTAGTGCGTTCTAGACACTCTGGAAACTTGACAACCCCGACCAGCGTATCTGCGAGGACGTGAAGCAATTTGTCCGGACGTCCCTGAATGTAAGCCATGCATATCTGCTGCTGTGAGGATGTCAGCACTTAGTGCACACGTCCCTGAATGTGACTCCAGTGCACTGCAATGTGCACCACAGCGCAGCTCTAGACTGCTGAATGCAAACCTGCTGCTTCTAGATGCACTCGAAGCTGGACAACCCCGACCAGCGTATCTGCGAGGATGTGAAGCACTTCGTCCAGACGTCCCTGAATGTGAGTCCAGTCCAGCGCACCGCTGCTCTAGACTGCTGAGTTCGAATCTGGCCGTTTTAGAAGCACTGCAAGCTGGGAAGCTGGGCAATCCCGATCAGTGTATCTGCAAGGACGTGAAGCACTTTGTCAGAACGTGCCTCAATGGAAGATGGCTTGCACGCTCTAAGAAACCTGCTCATTATAAGGAATACAGAACCTCCAGGTAGATGAGCCTACTCGTGCTTGTACGTCTGCAGAGTCTTAACTCAAGCGTATCACTCTTCTCCTCCCTGCACGTCCTCCGTTCCCCCACCACCCCCCACCCCGTCCTCTTGTCCCCATCATGCCCAGATTATCATCACGCTGATAGAGAAGATGATGAACCTCGTCGCCTTCGCCTACGTACTCTGGTAAGCTTCGAGCGTGTTCCAATGCAAAGGTGAGTGTGGTAGGTAAGCTCCTATGTGGAAGGCCCTGTTCTGAATCTCGCCGCCTTCTCAACGAGGCTCCTCGCCCTCATTGGGAAGATTATGAACCTCGTCGCCTTCGCCTACGTGCTCTGGTAAGCTTCTGAGCTCTGTGCCCTGAGCCTTTGCCTCATGTCTCATTCATACCAATGCGGTGCTCAGTGTGTTCAAAGAAGCAACTGTCTACACATTCTTGACAGCTGAACGTGCTCCTCCTCACCTCTGCCCTCTCCCTCCCCCCATCCCTTCTTCTTCCTCCCCCTTTGTTCCCCCTCTTCTCCCCCGTCCCCACCCCACAGGGACATCTCTCCCCCGCTGGTCTGGTTCCTGCTGGCCTAAGCAGTCTCAGGCACGTTTGTGGTGGTCAGGGTGTGTTGGGCATGTGCATCTTCACACTTCACCTCTGCCCTTTCCCCACCTACATCACCCCCACCCCTCTCCCCTCCCCACCCCACAGGGACATCTCTCCCCCGCTGGTCTGGTTCCTGCTGGCCTATGCAGTCTCAGGCACGTTTGTGGTGGTCAGAGTGTTTGGGAAGCGACTCACCTGGCTGCAGTTCCAGGTGAGGTTGGTGGGGTTAGGTTAGTAGCAAGAATTCCTTAAAGTGACTCTCAGGCACTTTTGTGGTGGTCAAAGTGTTTGGGAAGCGACTCACCTGGCTGCAGTTCCAGGTGGGGTGGGGTTGGCTTAGCAGCAGCAAGGGGACAGTTTTGGGGGGGTTGTCGCTTTCACCAGGCCAACATGCTGCCATTTTCTGTGGTTCCATATAAATCCGCGTGTAAGTAGACAACTGTTGAGACGACTTTTGAGACGTCTCAAAAGTTTTGGGGGGGGGGGGTGTCGCTTTCACGAGGCCAACATGCTGCCACTTTCTGTGGTTCCATAACTTCCATGAAAGAATGCTCCTAATTCCATCCCCCTGTCCAGGGTTTTCAGCACGAGGCAGATCTGCTGTACTCCCTGGTGCGAGTGAAGGTCAACGTGGAGTCAATCGCACCACACTCCACTGTACCCCATCCCACCACACCCCACCACACTCCACCACACCCCACCCCACCCCACCCCGCCCCTGTCTCTCCCTGCAGGGCTTTCAACGGGAGGCAGACCTGCGTTACTCCCTGGTGCGAGTGAAGGACAATGTGGAGTCGATCGCGTTCTACCGCGGGGAGGTCAAGGAGGAGGCGTCAGCTAAGGTGGGTACAAAGTGGTAGTTGGGTGGTGTGGAGTGTCAGCATTGGTAGGTGATAGGTAGTAGTAGACAGAGAGAGGTGAGGTAGAGGAAATTGCCTTCCTCGTTGGGTGCTAGTGAATGACAACGTGGAGTCAATCGCGTTTACAGGGGGGAGGTGAAGGAGGAGGCTTCAGCCAAGGTGGGTGGGTGGATGGGTGGGTAGGTAGGTAGGTAAGTAGGTACAAATGGTTAGAGGAGGAAGCGTCCGCCTCCCTTCGGCCACCTCAGGAAGGAATCAATCGCGTTCTACCCTGGGGAGGTGAAGGAGGAGGCTTCAGCCAAGGTGGGTGGTAGGTCGGTAGATAGGAAGGTAGGTGAGGAGGTAGGTGGAGACAGTTAGAGGAAACTTTGGGACTCTCTGTGTTTTCTGGGACTCTGCAGGATTTGAAACGCCTCTGTTTCTGTTAACTTGGGAGCATTTCCAAGTTCCTACAATTTGGCCTCCATCCCTCTCTGCCTTCTGGTGCTGCAGTCCCACTTCTCCTGCTTAACCACAGCCTCCACTTCGGGTCCTTCACCCTCCCGCCCCCACACTCCCCTTCCCCTCCCAGTCCTTCCTTCATCGCGTCGCTCTCAACGTGCGCAACCGTCGGTGCTGCAGTTCCACCTCTTTAACTCTTGCTCTCTTCTGCACCTGTCCCACTCCCTCTCCTCTCTGTCTCACGTATCTCCCCTTCCCCTCCCAGTCCTTCCTTCATCGCGTCGCTCTCAACGTGCGCAACCGTCGGTGCTGCAGTTCCACCTCTTTAACTCTTGCTCTCTTCTGCACCTGTCCCACTCCCTCTCCTCTCTGTCTCACGTATCTCCCCTTCCCCTCCCAGTCCTTCCTTCATCGCGTCGCTCTCAACGTGCGCAACCGTCTGGTGCTGCAGTTCCACCTCTCCTTCTTCACCAACCTCTACGACTTCGCCACCATCTTCGTCCCCGCCGTCATCGTGGCGCCGCGTTACTTCTCCGGAGCTGTAAGTGCCGCCCCTTTCCTCCCCTGGGTCACCGTACCCATGTGGCCCACCCACCTCTCCTTCTTCACCAACCTCTACAACTTTGCCACCATCTTTGTCCCTGCTGTCATCGTCGCCCCGTACTGCTTCTTCGGAGCTGTAAGTGCTCCCCTTTCCCCAGGGCAACCTTCCCCTGTGGCCCTACCCTCTGTCTGTTGATTCACCTTCAATCAAACTTCGCCACCATCTTCGTCCCCATGGTCATCGTATCACCGCGCTACTTCTCCAGCACTGTGAGTGCTGCTCCTCCCGTCGCCTTCACATGTTGCTTCATGTACTCTTCTATTCACTCCCTCCCTTCTCTCATCTTCATTCCCGTAGTCTTCGTTGGCCCGCGCTACTTCTCCAGGGCTGTAAGTTCCCCCCTTCCTTTGCAGCCCCACTCATCTATCCTTCGCCTCACCTCATATCAACTTTGCCACCATCTTCGTCCCCACTGTCATCGTCACCCCGCTAATTCTCCGGTGCTGTGAGTGCAGTGCAGCTACCCCTCCAGTCTTCTATGGCTTCTCCTCACCCTCTCCTCCTTTTCTCAACTCCTCCCCCGCTGTCCCCGTTATCATCGTGGCGGCACCATGCTACTTCTCTGGGGCTGTAAGTGCTGCCTGCCGGACCTGCTCCCGCTCCCCCTTACCCCTGTACGTGGGTGGCTTTTGAGAAGTCTCAAAAGAAACTTCCTCCCCGCTGTCTGTCATCGTGGCATCATGCTACTTCTCCGGGGCTGTGAGTGCTGCCTGGCGGACCTGCTCCTGCTCTCCCTTACCCCTGTAGGTGGGTGGCTCGCAGGCGAACAGCACCATCTACCGCGCTCTGTCACTCCTTTCTCCCTGACCAGGGACTCCTCTCCCTATCCCCCCCCCTCCCTTCTTTCCCTCCCTCCCTCAACTCACTCTCCTGCTCCGTCCCCCACAGGTGGAGTTCGGGGTGATATCACAGGCCAGCTACGCTTTCAGCACCATCTACCGCGCGCTCACAGTCATTGTTCTCAACTTCAACTCCTTCAGGTGCTATATTGGTTGGGGCACTTTTGAGAGCTCACAAAAGCGACTCCTTCAGGTGCTCCTCTCCCTCTCCCTCTCCCCCCCTCTCGCTCTTTCTGTTTCTCTTTCTCTTTCTCTTCCCGTCCTCCCTTCTCTCCGGCACTTCTCTCTCGCCAGGTTGAGTTTGGGGTGATCTCTCAGGCCAGCTATGCGTTTCACACGGTCTACAAGGCACTCAGTGTCATTGTCATGCACTTTCATGCGTTCAGGTGAATCCTCAGGTGTCTGTTCTGTTGTTTGTTCAGGTACCTCCAGGTGAACGTTGCATCTTTATATCTTCTCACGTATTGATCTACATGGATATTGTAACAATTTGCCATTTCCAGGTGTTCAATAAATTGCCCTCTTTTCGTTGTGCAATTCTACTCGATCAGGTGTTTCTTCAGGTGAATATTTCAGATTTCACTCTTCGTTGGTATCTCAGGTGGCTTGTTCTCTTCTGGGCGCCCCCACCGTACTGTCATTGACACCCGTCGTTGTCACATGCCCCTTCTTCCTGCCACTCTCTTTGCCCTTCTTTCCCTTGCCACTCCCAGTGAGCGTCTGGACATCCTACTCTCGTCCTTCCCTTCATATGCCGTTTCCTTTTATTCCATCTGATTCCTCCCCTTCCGCCTCCCTGCCTCCCCCACCCCCAACCTCAATCACAGCGAGCTGGCAGCGGAGACAGAGCGTCTGGAGAGTCTACTCTCGTCCCTCTCCGACTTTGCAGCAGACGACGACTCGAGCAAGCTCTTTTCGCATGCCTCCTCCCACGGCCCCTCCCACCCCCCTCACTCCCCCTCTCACCCTTCTCTCTCTAAATCAACCACCGAAGATCCCTCCTCTCTTTCCTCCACCTCCACACACTCTCTGGCTCTCGGTCATTCCCTCTCTCTCCAGCCCTCCCATACTACCTCCGCTTCCTCCTCCTCTCTCGCCCCCACCCTCACAGGGCAAAGGTTTGCCGTTCGTCACACTTCTGAATCCTCACCTGCTCTCACATCAGCAGCAGAAGCATCGGCAGGCTCTGTTGTTTCAGGTGTTTTGCCAGGTGGTTCTCACGGGGAGGGTGCCCCTCTGCTGGAGTTGACTGCCATGGGGGGAAGCGCAGGTGGTGGCGGTGCTGCTGCTGCAGCTGAAAGAGAAGCTGCTCTTATTGAATGCACCACTACAACAGGTACGAATCTTTTTTCTAGTCCTCTGGGGAAAAAGAAGAGCACAGGTGGTGGCAGTGCTGCTGCTGCTGGGGGAGAAGCTGGTATGCTGTTATCCCCAATCCCCGCCTCCAATCTCCACTTCCTCTCCCCATGCCCAATTCACCCAATCCTCACACGATTTTTGAGTCGACTCAAAAATCGATTTTTGAGTCGATTTTTGAGTCGACTCAAAAATCAAAAATCGATTTTGAGTCGACTCAAAAATTGACTCAAAAGTCGACTCAAAAATCGACTCACTACACGAGAAGCTGGTATGCTGTTATCCCCAATCCCCGCCTCCAATCTCCACTTCCTCTCCCCATGCCCAATCCACCCAATCCTCACGCACACTTTCCCTATCCCCACCACCAACCTCCAACACAACCCCTACCCTCTATTGCTCATCTTACCCCACCTTTTCTTGCCCTTATTGCTCATCTTGCCTCACAATCACCTCTGTCATCACCCCCACACCCAACCTCCAATTCAACCCTTACCCCTCTGATGATTTCAATCATCCCCTTTCTTCCCTCTTCTCCCCTCTTCCATCCGCTCCCCATTCCCTCACACCAGGTCGCATTCAGCGCATAGAAGGCCCATGCCTCACACTCACCTCTGTCATCATCCGCACCCCCAACCTCCGCCACACCCTCTACCCCTCCTCCCTCTCCTTCTCCCTCCCCCCCGGCGCCTCCCTCCTCGTCATGGGCCCTTCGGGCTGCGGAAAATCCTCCCTCCTGCGAGCCATTGCCGGCCTGTGGAAATTCGGCGAGGGAACCATCGAGTCTCCGCCCCCCGGGAAAACTTTTTTCCTGCCACAGAAGCCGTATATGCCACTGGGAACTCTCCGGGACCAGCTGGTTTTTCCGGGAAATGCGCTCGAGGGAGGTGGAGGGGGAGAGGGCGGGGGAGGGGGGGGAGGCGGAGGGTTGGAGGGAGAGGTTAGCAACGGTGAGGAGGGAGGGGGGAGTTTGAGGGGGGGTTTTTCGGACAAAGAGCTGTTGTACGCGCTTCAGGAGGTTTCTCTTCCAGATTTGGCTGAACGGGTGGGTGGGCTGGCTGTGGAATGTGACTATTCGGACATGCTTTCTATGGGGGAGCAGCAGCGGGTGGCGTTCGCTCGTCTTCTTCTGCAGCGGCCGTACATGGCGTTTTTGGACGAGGCGACGAGTGCGTTGGATGGGCGGAACGAGGCACGGCTGTATGGGATGATGCGCGAGAGGGTGAAGTCGTTTGTCAGTGTGGGACACAGGACGAGCTTGATTAAGTTCCACACGTTGGTTCTGGCGTTTGATGAGGATGGCGAGGGGTGGGAAGTGGTCACTTCGGAGGAGTTTGCAAGAAGAAAAGGGCTCTGATGGGGTTGCAGTTTGAATTCCACCATTTACTATCTGTGCATCATACCAGAACAGTTCCTAGCTTCTCCCAGTTTTTTGTGATGTTTGAACCCAGCTGATTTATGTGTATGCGGCCAATCAATTAAGCTAGTGCTGCAGCGGAGAGATTCAAAGCGCGTATAGCTGCTGATTGGTAGCTGTTTCGTGTTTCACAAGTCTTGCTGTCCCGCAATATCTGGAATTTACTCCGACAGATATATCGCATCGCAAGATAGCACTTTAGCTTTCTGCTTGTTCAAACATCATCGATCAGGAAGGTGAGTTGCGGTTCTAAGCGGTGAAGTAAATACCGCACTGCGCTGCACAGTTTCGTACTCAACCGACTTGATTAATCTCTAGGTCCAAATCCTCACGCAGTGTTGCCAAGCATACTAGTCCAAATCCGAACACCTGTCAATGCGGTGCGAGACAAGGTGAAAAGCGCGGTGTGTGGAATAGCATATTTGTCCTCCTACCCTTTCTTCCGAAGTCGTTCCTTCCTTAGCAGCAGTTCCTATTGTTTCGATTTTAACTGGTTGAAATTTATTTACTAGCTTGCGGTCGCCAATGAGCCTGTCGACAATCAAGGATGTCGCCAGCGGGAAGGTTTCGCCACTTTTCGTCGCAGTCGTTGTCGCAACTTCCGTCGTCGCACTGCACTGGGTGGCTACCCGATGGTCCAGCGCATCTTACGGCGCTTCCGACGGCGCATCTGGCGGCGCAGGAAACGGCGCGAGCTGGACCGGCAGCTGGTGGTTCGGGAAGCGGGTAGAAAGCGGCGAATGCGGCGTGAGATGCGGAACCGGGAAGCTGAGTAAAAACAGGAGGAAGAAACGGAAGGGTCGCCGGCCAGATGGAAGAGAAAAACAGGAACATGTTTCAGGAGAAGAAGACAGTCAGGAAGACGATGATAGTGAGGATGAGTGGGAGGAGGAGGAAGGAGCGGAGGGAGAAGGAGATGAGAAGCCGCAGAGAGCGTTTCGTAGGGTTCTTGCGGATAACTCAAGAGCTCCGTTTCAGCACCTGAAACGAAATGAATCGCCTTGTAACGAGGATGAGGACGAGAGTGAGGAACCAGGTGCGTTCTCTCAACCCATTGCTCTTTCTCAACCCTGTTTTTGTTTCCAGCTCTTTTGTTTCAATCGTACTATGAATGAATTTTTTCACACTGTGATTCATAAAATCTTATGACTCTATAATGTTCTGTGACTCTCCATATAATCTTATGACTCTCCAGTGTTCTGTGGCGTTCCATATGAATCACATCAGCCTCTTTCAAATTGCTTCCTACTCGTCCTGCCCTACTCTACACCCGTTTCTCTATAATCAGGAGATCTACACCCATACGGCGACGAGATCCGCCACCTTATCCAGAATCCTCCTCCACCCAACGACATGCTGCCACCTGGCACCACATCACCACCACCTCTGAATGACCCTGGTGTTACAACCTCTTCTTCCTCCTCCTCCTCCCCATCCCCCTCCTTCCACTGGGTATCCACGAAGCACCAGCTAGCGTCCCTAGCAGCTCTTCTAGAAACCGAGGAAGAATTTGCCGTGGACACAGAGCAGCACAGCCACCGCTCCTTCCTCGGCTTCACTGCTCTCATTCAGGTGGGTGGTTCTGTGTGGTGGGTCTGATCTGATCTGGTTACCTCCGCCAGCTAGCAGCTGAGCCGACTCCCAGTGAGCACCAGCTAACGTCCCTACCAGCGCTGCAAGAGAGCCAGGGCGAGCTCGCAGTGGACACAGAGCAGCACAGCCACCGCTGCTTTGTAGGATTCACCGCCTTGATCCAGGTGAGTGGTCTGAGATGGATCGGAATGGGTTTGAAACGGTTTGACTGGCTTGTGGGACAGCTTGGGTTGAGTTCGCAGTGTACACAGAGCAGGACAGCCACCATTCATTCCTACGCTTCACTGCCTGATTCAGGTGGGCTGGTGTGTCTTTTCTGAGTTCTTATTGCTGGCACCCACCCACCACACTGGGTATCCACCACGCTCTCTTTCAGGTGGGTTTCTCTGTGTCCACGCGAGACGGCAGGGACTTTATCATAAGGAACGCCATTGTAACCCATGACGCCAGTGTAACCCATGACGCCATTGTAACCCATGACGCCATTGTAACCCATGACGCCATTGTAACCCATGACGCCATTGTAACCCATGACGCCATTGTAACCCATGACGCCATTGTAACCCATGACGCCATTGTAACCCATGACGCCATTGTAACCCATGACGCCATTGTAACCCATGACGCCATTGTAACCCATGACGCCATTGTAACCCATGACGCCATTGTAACCCATGACGCCATTGTAACCCATGACGCCAGTGTAACCCATGACGCCATTGTAACCCATGACGCCATTGTAACCCGTGACGCCATTGTAACCCATGACGCCATTGTAACCCATGACGCCATTGTAACCCATGACGCCAGTGTAACCCATGACGCCATTGTAACCCATGACGCCAGTGCAACCCATGATGCCATTGTAACCCATGACGCCATTGTAACCCATGACGCCATTGTAACCCATGACGCCATTGTAACCCATGATGCCATTGTAACCCATGACGCCATTGTAACCCATGACGCCATTGTAACCCATGACGCCATTGTAACCCATGACGCCATTGTAACCCATGACGCCATTGTAACCCATGACGCCATTGTAACCCATGACGCCATTGTAACCCATGACGCCATTGTAACCCATGACGCCATTGTAACCCATGACGCCAGTGTAACCCATGACGCCATTGTAACCCATGACGCCATTGTAACCCATGACGCCATTGTAACCCATGACGCCATTGTAACCCATGACGCCATTGTAACCCATGACGCAAGTGTAACCCATGACGCCATTGTAACCCATGACGCCAGTGCAACCCATGACGCCATTGTAACCCATGACGCCATTGTAACCCATGACGCCATTGTAACCCATGACGCCATTGTAACCCATGACGCCATTGTAACCCATGACGCCATTGTAACCCATGACGCCATTGTAACCCATGACGCCATTGTAACCCATGACGCCATTGTAACCCATGACCCCATTGTAACCCATGACGCCATTGTAACCCATGACGCCATTGTAACCCATGACGCCATTGTAACCCATGACGCCATTGTAACCCATGACGCCATTGTAACCCATGACGCCATTGTAACCCATGACGCCATTGTAACCCATGACGCCATTGTAACCCATGACGCCATTGTAACCCATGACGCCAGTGTAACCCATGACGCCATTGTAACCCATGATGCCATTGTAACCCATGATGCCATTGTAACCCATGACGCCATTGTAACCCATGACGCCATTGTAACCCATGACGCCATTGTAACCCATGACGCCATTGTAACCCATGACGCCATTGTAACCCATGACGCCAGTGCAACCCATGACGCCATTGTAACCCATGACGCCATTGTAACCCATGACGCCATTGTAACCCATGACGCCATTGTAACCCATGACGCCATTGTAACCCATGACGCCATTGTAACCCATGACGCCATTGTAACCCATGACGCCATTGTAACCCATGACGCCATTGTAACCCATGACGCCATTGTAACCCATGACGCCATTGTAACCCATGACGCCATTGTAACCCATGACGCCATTGTAACCCATGACGCCATTGTAACCCATGACGCCATTGTAACCCATGACGCCATTGTAACCCATGACGCCATTGTAACCCATGACGCCATTGTAACCCATGACGCCATTGTAACCCATGACGCCATTATAACCCATGACGCCAGTGTAACCCATGACGCCATTGTAACCCATGACGCCAGTGCAACCCATGACGCCATTGTAACCCATGACGCCATTGTAACCCATGACGCCATTGTAACCCATGACGCCATTGTAACCCATGACGCCATTGTAACCCATGACGCCATTGTAACCCATGACGCCATTGTAACCCATGACGCCATTGTAACCCATGACGCCATTGTAACCCATGACGCCATTGTAACCCATGACGCCATTGTAACCCATGACGCCATTGTAACCCATGACGCCATTGTAACCCATGACCCCATTGTAACCCATGACGCCATTGTAACCCATGACGCCATTGTAACCCATGACGCCATTGTAACCCATAACGCCATTGTAACCCATGACGCCATTGTAACCCATGACGCCATTGTAACCCATGACGCCATTGTAACCCATGACGCCATTGTAACCCATGACGCCAGTGTAACCCATGACGCCATTGTAACCCATGATGCCATTGTAACCCATGACGCCATTGTAACCCATGACGCCATTGTAACCCATGACGCCATTGTAACCCATGACGCCATTGTAACCCATGACGCCATTGTAACCCATGACGCCAGTGCAACCCATGACGCCATTGTAACCCACGACGCCATTGTAACCCACGACGCCATTGTAACCCATGACGCCATTGTAACCCATGACGCCATTGTAACCCATGACGCCATTGTAACCCATGACGCCATTGTAACCCATGACGCCATTGTAACCCATGACGCCATTGTAACCCATGACGCCATTGTAACCCATGACGCCATTGTAACCCATGACGCCATTGTAACCCATGACGCCATTGTAACCCATGACGCCATTGTAACCCATGACGCCATTGTAACCCATGACGCCATTGTAACCCATGACGCCATTGTAACCCATGACGCCATTGTAACCCATGACGCCATTGTAACCCATGACGCCAGTGCAACCCATGACGCCATTGTAACCCATGACGCCATTGTAACCCATGACGCCATTGTAACCCATGACGCCAGTGTAACCCATGACGCCATTGTAACCCATGACGCCAGTGCAACCCATGACGCCATTGTAACCCATGACGCCATTGTAACCCATGACGCCATTGTAACCCATGACGCCATTGTAACCCATGACGCCATTGTAACCCATGACGCCATTGTAACCCATGACGCCA